ATATATATGAGTCAACAGTAGGTTATTTAATCCACGTGTCTAAATTATAACGGGATCTTATCCCTGTGTCTAATACCTGGCTCACTACAAACTCGTTTCCTAGCGAACGTTTTGAAGGAGTGTAAATCATCCAACAGAATACACGACAGAACGTTCGCCTGAGGTATTTCAATCTGTTTTTAATTAAAAATTGCATGATATTCTATACAACGAGAGAATCACTGGTTATTCGTATCTCCAAAACTAAAACCAAATTCGAGTCATTTATTTAAACAAATAAAATATTTTGTCCTCCCGAATAAGGAATATATGATTCGTTCGCCAGGTAGAGTCGCTCAATCCTCAATGTCGTCAACTTTTTCGCGCCTGGCGTTTAAACCTATTTAATACCGTGGCAATTCTGTTCAATTCTAGTAGGTTAACTGTAGCTTAATCCAATGGTACGATATGCGGGCGACTCGGTGGTCGTTTTCGGAATAACTTCAAAATTTGAATAACTTTCGAAGCAGGACAATTTTCTATGTGTCAGATGTACTTCCTCTTATTTTTACATAGCTGTCTCAGCACTCTAACAGCTCACGGACATTCCTGTATTCACACGCAATTTCTCTATGGCGTTTCGAATTAAGCAGATAGTAGAATATGTTTACCTACTAATTGCCCTTTTTAAGGTACGAAAAGCCCCGTAATGACATGGGCTTTTATGGGAAGAACAAGCGTGTTGGCACATTGGTTTGTTTGATTTCCGAGAATAACGAAGCCGTGACAATGAGTTTTGGCGTTGCTGTTAAGACGCCGGGCTGCGTGTTTTCGTTTGAATTTCCATAAAATGGTTGAATCTGCCATAGCCTAAGCGTTAGACTAGTGAGATCCATTACTGGCTTTGTGAGGTAGACAGACATTAAAGGGTAGTATCGAGGCCGTAGAGGCATATGTAAGGTAAAATTAATTTCGCATTCAATATGTTATTAAAAATAATTATAATACACAAAGCTGCCATAACATTGTGAGCTTATTCTTCAGGAGAACATTAAGCTGCTCAGAACCATTCAATGGGTTGAAAAATTCGAATAACTGTGAAACTCAAGCTTGAAATTTCGGTAACGCTAAGGCGGCTAGCGGCAGTTTGAATTGCTTAATAGCGCTAAGATACTTAGTGGAACGGAAAAAATATCCTAATAACGGTTGTAAAAAAAGTCTCAGATTGTCCCATGCTGTTCGGCGGGTCGAGAAGCTTTTAAGATCCACAGCGCTGACAGCTGAGATTTGGCAAACGTTTTCATTAAATTTTGTTCTATCCGTGGCTATGCGCTGATTGAGTATCAGTAGAGGATAACGACTTAAAAATCGACACCTAGTGATAAAAATGATGTTCCAGAAGTTAGAGGACACGGATCAAGAAGCCGTTAGGTGAAATGTTTATCTGCAAACAAGAACAGTCAGACGAACTCATCATTCCGTGTTTTCGTCGCTGACCGCCCTATATCAGCAGGCCCGGTGAGAGATGGTAGAGTTCTATTACATAGATTAATGAACATCCGCCGCAGTATGCTCGCACAAAGTGGAAGTGACAGAAGCTAGTACGCCTAGAAAGGGCAGAACTGATGCGTATCGCAGTTCCACCTCCCTTCGACCCTGTATCCCTTGGATGCAGGTAGTACAGCTCGTTGTTTTAATGAGAAAGGAAACTTAATCCCGATTCATGTAGATGTAAAGATTCTCAATTGAAGAATGCTTGGAGGAAGCGTGAATTTTCTAGAAGAAATCAATTTGCCTTTGCGATTATTTTCGGTACCGCCTAAATTAGGACATTATAAGGTTATGTCGCAGACTATTGACATAGTTTTAATTGAACTATTATGCTTTCACAAGTATAGGGAACATTCCCTATTAATCATCGTTTTGTTATCACTACGTAAGCTTGGCTGCAAACGGCGAATATATATTTTTCTTAGCAAACTAGATTTCTCACGCAGCTATACTAAGACCACAGTCAAACCAGGGCACCAGTACTTCTTCTTCTTCTTCTTTCTTCTTCTTCTTGAGGTTGAAACGATTCTCATCCTGGTATTCGATACCCTTACAAGGCTTTCTAATATATCTTTGACCTTATTATAATAGCGCGTTTATATAATCGTTTTTCAGAGACAATAATTGGACTTCCTTAAGCCGATCCGCAAGCAAAATGGACACCACTTATTGGTTGGGATCGACAAGGTTGACCTTCATCCCAGAAGATTGAACAGAACCACCATAACCAATTCCTGATATACTCCGAAGGCCTTGTTTAAAACTGGCTATTCCCTTGCAAAGCCAGCCTTTGGTAAAAACTGAAGCTCTGATTCATCACTTTTAGAACACTGACGTCTTTGGATGGCGTCTGACGTAATTTGGAGAGGATGCGTATTTGCATAGCAGCCGCTTCGTCTTTACTATCTGAATTCTGTTACCCGAAGCATTCTACTAGCGACAACTTTCGCAAAGACGAATTTAGTTCCAGCTAATCTTTAATGAATTATATTATTTAATATTTTATTATTTTGTCTTAGTTTTATTCATCAAATTCGATTTATCTCTCAATCTGCTTAATGATGAACGTATAACATGTAGATCTCCACGCGACTGATGTCTGTAAAACAAAGATAGCTCTATTAAATGTGACATATTACATTATCTTAAATTGCCCGGCCACTTTGGACCGTTGAAAACTGACAGCTCCAAGCGATAACTTTGACAGACTTCTCTGGCAGGGTCGCGATATCGATACTGCCATTGGTAAACGCAAAGTGCAGCCAATGGGCAATCTGTGCAATTGTATATGCCTCCTGTAAGCTTCTAGCATAAAAGTAACATGAAATTTTAATATTTTTACACAAGGTTGAAGCTCTAGATAACGACAATGGAAAATCACCTTACCGAAAAGTGTATCCAAATTACACTTTTTAGCCACAAAAACATTCCGAGAACTTAAGTATGAACTTTAATATTAATATATCGTGCAAGCATGCTGATCCAATTACAACCTAAACATTTCTTCACACCGATTAAATTGAAAATTGGACTGATACATTACCGTCATGACTCGGACCTAGTACACAAACACCATTTTATCAATATTACCATAATAATCAACTTCTCGTTGGTGATTTGCAAAAGAATTCATATCGCTGACTGTGTCGTGAGTCGGCAGTCTTCAATCCAGCTAAGGACTAGCCGGCATGGAGGAGTCGCATTTGGATAAAATAAGGTGTCGTGCGGCTGAGAACACGCTGGATCCTGTTCCACTTAAACGGTCAGCATTGTGACGTTGTTTTTCCATTGAACTCTTTATTAACGATGGCACTATTTCGCTTAGCTTTTCCCCGCCAACGCCACCACTTTCTGACAAAATATACTAATGGTTCGTCTAACCTATTCATAAGGTGAAAAAAATTATAGTGCTTAGGTGACGCGAAGTAAAAGGGCTCTGTAAAGAAATCATCTCCTTTACATAAGGTAGAGGTTTACAATTAGGAGAAGGCTAACGACGATAACACCAGTTCAACTGAACATCGTGAGATTATGCTGCTTAATCAGACGTTTGAATATCTATATGGAATACAGGTCGTAATAATAAATCATTAGAATCTGTTGCAGCCCTTTTAGAACTGCTCTCCAGTCCGGTTTCGAGATACGGTTAGGTTGTTGTTTTGGTATTTGTGTATGGCAGCTCTTCGGGTAGCTAAAAAACGCAATGGCCGCTCGTATTAGCAGCACTCACGAGAAGTCTTTCGCTGCTGAAGTTCGAACTTAGAAAATTGTTCCGGTTCGTAACTGAAGAGTGCAGGACTCGCTCGATTCTCATGTCGTTATTGTTAGCCATAAACCCGAACCAAAAAGCGAGTGAGCAATTTTCTCTTCTGTACAACTAAAATGTTTGAAAGCTGCTCTCCATCAAACGAGAAACTTGATTGAGCAGAGGTTGCTTTGCCCTCAGCAAGCAATACAGTAGCAGTACAGAAAAATGATACTAGGCCCCCTGGGATTTTTTAATACGGGACAAAATGGTGACGTTTTTTGAGGGAAATATAAATGGGGCAACCTGTATTTTTTGTTTCTTTTTCTCAACATGATGAAGCGAACCAGGTTGCATGCGTGTACCGAGCACGTACATGGTCATCGGCGTCGTAAGCGGTACCTTTGTGCGAAAAAATGCCGCGATGATTACGATTTTTTCTGCTTCCTTGTTTACGTTGATTTGATATAGTGGGTACCACTACGAGCTATCCGCCTGCAAAAATACATATGCCTTATAATGTAGGTGCATCTAGAACCGTTACAGGCGCATCGTTTCTCACGCAGTCCAAATCATTGTGCTTGTATCCAGCCTTAACATTATACGATAACTTATAGTTCGTTTTATGTATATAGAAATATAGAAAATGACTGATTTGCGTAGCCCGTACAGGCAAGCATGTACGACTGTTTCATGTCGTGCTATAGCTGATTTTGTGCTAACGAAAACAAGAAGCTTTAGCTAACTGCTGGTTCATTGCCGCCAGCAGGACGTAGTGATTCACAGAACGCATTGGACATTGAAGGGAAAGCATCTGTCTATTTCCGTGCGGCGCGGCGCGACACGACACACGTCGCCTTGACGATTGCGGTAGATAGGTTAGCATCAACATCGCGTTCTGTTTAAGCAAGACGGATGTATTTAAGGAAACGAAACTACTGCGTCACCCCGCGTCAGGCGCTCCCTCCGACAGGGACAGAGAATCTTCGACGGTAGCCGGTATGCAGGCTGGCGGCCAAGCGGGAAGCTAGCCGCCGAGAAGCAAGTGGATGGCCTGCACAGTCACCAGCGCTGCCGATCGGAAACGGACGAAAAGAGACGAAGCGATGATTACACAAACGACCGAACAAAGCGGCGAGAAGAGAGAGGGAGAAAGGGAAAGAGGAAGGAATTTCAATGCGAGCGGTCGACATCAATGGAAACGCTAAGCTGCCCGAGTCACCTGCGTTGCTTTTTAGTGCAGCTCATCATTTTTCCTTGTTTAGCGTTTCATCTTTGACGCATGTGGTCGCCACGATCGTTTTCTTTTTTCTATGTTGCTACCTTTCACAGTACCCTCCCATCATACAATATTGTCCTGATTAGCTTTCTGTTTATTAATTAAAAACTCTGCTCGTAATTTAATCACGACCATCATGACGATACTTTCGCTGGACAAACGGAGTAGCTAGCCAGCCAGCCAGCCAGCCAGTGGAGCTGGCCGTCACGACATGGAATTGCTCTTTTTTACAGTTACATCTTTTCGTCCGTCGTCTATCCGTTTACTGCTACTGACGCTGCTGTTGCTGTTCGCCATATGACCAAGCACAGACGATCGTGCCTTCCTAGTAGGTATTTACCCGACTGTATGCATACGCAACGTGTGCATACGTTCAAGTAATGTACGTGATGGCCGGCTTGCCATGGTAAATCCCAGCAACTATCACCCTTGAGGAGGGACAGGAAGTTGCACTGTGGTTGCACAGTGGCAACGATAATCGATGAAGACGTGCATTTTAAAGATAAGAAGCAGAGTTTTTTTTTTTTTTAATTTGGGAAAAAATTCACTGTTCATTCAATACAGCATTTTACACTGTATTTTGCTTGGCTTTAGTACTGATAACTTAATCTGTGCATCCTTCTCCGCCAACGCTGACACATCGAAGGTTAGCGGCTCATTGAATAAGGCATGTGAAAGGACTGCAGGAGTGAGCTTTTTGCTTCGGCGACTGTCGAGACATTGTAGAACAATGCAAATATTTAAACTTTAAAACGCGCGAAACAGAGGCAGATTACTTGATGAGAGACATCCGAAGTTAGTATGTGCATATGAAACGATCCAAAGGGTACAGATTTGCATGTAATCCTCAACGCAATAAACCCGAAATTCCAGTAGAAGCAGGAACTATAATTCACTCAGCCACATCTAATGATGCAACACAGATCTTCTACGTTACCGCAAAAAATCGAAATAACGTCCGGTTCAGTCGGAGCGGCCTTCATGCCAATTGTTGGTGGCGATAAAAACCGATCGAGATCTGTTTTACAGAATCAGCTTTAGCGTAATGATGCCTACCCGATGCAAATATATCATCTATACCGCATTAATGTTTATTAGAAGCCTGTCGAACTATGTCGAGAGGGTTTTATGTCTGGAATTTGCTGATACTGCTAGGAATTAGGACCTGACTAAAACAAGTCGGTCTTTGCCTTTCTGATGAGTAAATGGTTGATAAGCCAACTCACGGAATCGGCTCGCACGCGAACGACATAGATATTACTTTGTATGTAAAATGTATTGTGCCGTTCTGGCTTTGGAGATTACATCGCGCCGTGTACGAGAGGACGAGCTCGCGTTAACCAATGAATTGCTTATGTTAAGCTTTCACAGTAAGCATCGGGGAAACGGCGAAGCGCTACGCCTTGAAACTTCATTAGACGACGATGATCGTCTACGTTAAGAGTGATATCAAGCATCAATTTCTCACAAATCACCGCACCGAGTCGTAGATTCTCAGCCGGCCTGCAAGCCGTAAGTAGCTTGTATTTGTTGGCCGGAGTGTTACAAGCAAATAGGCCCATCAATTGCTTTACAAAAACCACCTTTGATACACACGCAGATTAAAGACACATATAGATTCATTTTCTATATCGAACTGGAAATCCATATTATATTCGAAAAAAAAAAAGCCAGACTAGGTGCTCTTACAAGTCAGCTTGCGATCCGGAATTGAACACCGAACCCGGGTAGGATCGATTGCTGGTGACACAAGGATTTCGCGAGAGTACATTATGTCAACTTAATGGTGTTTACTCCCCCAAAGTTTATCTTAATCTGCCAAAACATTAACACATTTATGCAACAGAAGCCGCACACTATTGCCAAAAAGATGATGGAAAAAATCTATTAGTTAGTGTTGAATATATGTTGTTGATACCTAAATATAGCAAATTGGTCAACATAAAATGTTTGATATCTGTCTAACCGTTTGTTCTCGCTCCGTCAGCTAACAGTACAATCTCATGCAGAAAATATTTGTGCTAAGCTGATACTTAAACCCAGAGCAGTGCTATGACGAAAATCAAATATGGCTTAATCGGCCGGCATTGGCGAGACGAAGTCTTTTTGCAAAGGCTTGTTGGTGCTATTTGCTACCGCTTTGGGGCTCAATGAAAAGGAGGATAAGAGCATTGTTTTTACATTCGCCTAAAGCGATCTACCAGCACCTCCAGAATTCGGCATCGCAACAAGGTTCCGTTCGATACACAACCGAAACACACACGTATTATTGACGATGCAACTGCCCATTCTTGATCGTTCTAAGAAAGAAAAAAAAAAACACACGAAAAACTGGTACATCGAATGTTAGTTTTCAAATATCAAAATAGTGCTACGGTAGATTTATGACAAAATCCAAATATGAATTCATTGCAATTTTGTATATTTTATATTGTACGCACAAACAGCCACACAAAACTATTCTGAAGGGATTACTGAGACGTGTGCATAGATAGATAAACTCGTAATAGGATTACGAGAATAGCTCGCATAACAGCAGTGGACTTTAAGCGGACAGTCAGACCCACATTAGAAAAACGATTGTTGAAAACATTGCTGGGTGGGTAGGGATATTGAAATAAGCAGTTGACAGTTATAGTCCTGAAGATTTAGAATAAGGTGCTTCTCTTATAAAAAAGAAAAAAAAAAAAAAAAATAAGTAGGAAACAAGAATGGAAACAGATCACAACATAGTGAGGAAACAGGATTCCTCTGACGGTGTTATCAAAAGGACCAATTTCCCAGCCGCGTCAGAGGATGACAAAGCTCGGTGTACCTGTGTCTACACAGACCCTCCCACGTTGAAGCGGAAAGAGTAATTTCAGGTGTCGTAAGCCAAAAATACTTTGCTAAGCTGTACATGAAAAGTATTCACAGTTAAATAGACTAAACGGTTCCAAAGCCGGTCAGTGAAGGACCGGAAAGGGGTCTGTTTTTCAGACGAATCGCATTTTAACAGTAACGCTCAACGCGTTTACAGGATTTCTGGCGGAAGGTTCCATAAATTGTGTGTCATCGAACAGGTTAAACATCTGAGCAAGACAATGCTGTAGGTTACAGTTTCTATCTACGGCGGGATAGCTATACATTTCGGCTGTAAGATTATAGAAAAATGATAAAATTAATGTACAGTGATGTGAATAAGAATGTTGTCATCCCGTTCATGCGTAACAAGTTGCTATGGATGTCATACGGCAAAGTGCGTCTCTGGGGTGTTCATCATTAATGGCGTTGCGATTTTGGCACGATCTGAAAATGCGTCTGATCGAAAACGCATTACGCCAAAGGATGAACCAGGATCAGACAGGAAACCATGAACGTCTCACAGCTCAAACATACAGTGCTCCAAATATGAGTCTGGGACCCATGCGTGATAGAGATGCCATACCGATTTGCAGCAATCATCACAGAAGCCGGGGGGTGGGTGGACCAAATACTGGCCTCAATAAGTGCCTCCTCTTCCACCGCACTTTTAAAAATCCTCCTCTAATGTCACTACGTATGCTATCGTTGGAAAGCAGAAGGAGGAAGCCTTCGCATAAAAAACCGGGTGACATAGTTTGGACGAGGGGCTGTTTTCGATCAACGTCAGAATGTGTGAAACTCTTAGCTGGCCTTGTTGTTAGTTATCAGATGGTGACTACATATATTATACCTGTAATGTCTGTATACACGAAGGACACGATCACGATAGAAAGTCGATAAGTCATGATAGTGCAGTAATGCATGAAAGTACTTATGCGGCATAGATAATTGCTTTGTGCATCTGCGCACAATGTATACATCTACCTACATCTGGGGTAAGTATCAAAGTGAAGCTGTGTAAGCTTTATGCAGCGGTATGTATGACGCCTACCCGTTATCGGTGTTTACGTGAGAGCAAGGGCAGACGATCAGTCAGATGTCTGTCTATTCGTCTAACCGTCTTCCGAGACTGCTGTTGCTATTGAAATATTCGCCTTAGAGGTCGCTGTCGTTCTCATAACACTTGTTGTTTACCGCCTACGCGGTCAAGCGAAACCCAGTAGAGTGAAGCACGCCAGTTAGCTAGCACAGCAGCCTAGAATAAGGTAGGAGCACCAATATGTTTGCCTTAGAAGGAAATCGGGAAGACTGCTCGGATGCGGATGAAAAACATTATCTAGTATAGGCTTCGTCAAAGCTCATCACGTATCCA